AAAAAAACATGTGCTATTTGATGAATGGAGCACGTGGTACAAGCTCCCCAAAGCTCAGGTCCTGGTGGGGCCTGGTCCCTTTCAGGCCACTGCAGCCTTGTGCTGTAATAGTCTGGGGCTGGCTACCTGGATCCCCTGACCTTCCTGCCACCTCTCTACCTCTGAGCCTGTCTTGGCTCCAGTGTACTGATTAGGCCACCTTCCCAGCAGCATGAGGCCCCGGAGTGCAGGTGCACAAGTGGCTGTGTGTTGACATCACCGCCCCAGGTCACACACTTTTTGTACGGCCTTTTTGTATGAGACCCTCGCACTACCCTTGCCTCTCATCCTGGCATTACCTATGCCTCTAGCCTCTTCTTCAAACTCCTCAACACATCAATAAAATGACCACATAAAATGTAAAGCAACTGGGACAGTGGAAACCACGTTGGCAGCTGGCCAGGCCTTTAGAGGAATGAGTGTGCAGCGAAGGCTCTGTGTGAGAGGACTCCAGGTAGGGAGAAGGGGATCATGGGAGCTAAACTGCAGCTACTGGACACCAATGTGGTGCTCTCGGTGGGGATATGTCTGGTTCTGAGCCCCCCTAGCAGCCAAAAGTGATGTTACTGAACTTTTAAAGAGGAAAGCCCACCTACTTGCTTGAGTACCTAGCCACCAACTCCATTGACTTTGGAGAAAATGGCCCAGGCTTTAGAGGGTGATTGGGAATTAGAAGCTTTTATATTAGATGTGCAGCTGCTTCCTCCAGAGGATGGCGGGTAGGTGTTAAGGGGTACATAGAAGACCAGCAGTCGGGACCCTTTGGTCAACTCTCTTGTCCCCTCCCAGGCTTGACTATTTTCTCTTCCGTACAAAGTTTTTTACTTCATCTATGAAATGATGATGTTCCCAGATCAATTCCAAGGCCAAGCTGACTCAAACCTGACTGTTAAGTTTAGGACTATCCAAGATTCGTGTCAACTGGAGAGTCTTCTGGGGTTTCAACACTGTCCTTGGGAACAGGCTTAGGAGGGCTCAAGTGCCTGACCTTGAGGTAGTTCATGCCTTTCTCTGCCTTTCTTCCCTAAGACACACTCCTTATCCCAAAGCTGACTTTGTCTCCTGAGGTACTTAGTGCCCTGTTCTCCTGGGCACCAGAGGCAGGGAGGGAGGACAGGCTCCCTAGGACCTAGGATGCAAGTACCCCTTCCCGTGTTGGCAGTGGGGACTGTGTGCTAGCCTAGGGTGAAGGCAGGCTAGTCCAGCAGGAAACCACCAGCCTTTCTCTCTGCCACCGTGCAGCCCTGGGGCTATGGATGTTTCAAATGTTTCCTTCAACCCCTGAGGGAACTGGGTGTGGAGTTCTGCCCAAAGGATCCTCTGCAAGTGTCTGTCCTGTCTTCTCATTCCTCCCTGCTGCCCACTGAGTGGTGCAGGGGCTTTGTGCATTGGATCTGGGACCCTGGGTATGCACCTGTCAGAACCTGGCTCTCATCACCCTGGATGGGGGAGACACTGCACACTCCAGGGCACGGATAGCCCAGCCTCAGTCTGTGTGGTTTCACTGATAGAAACCAGCTGTTCTGAGCCCCGGATAGATGTAGCCATTTGGCAAATGGCTTCTGGTGCCTCCAGTCTCCTGCCACTTGTGGCCTAGGTGCCTAGCTCCTACACTCACCCAGTCTACTCAGACCAGACAGGGAAGACATCTGTGGACCCTCAGTGCCCTGGGGGGTCCTGGAATCCTCAGAATCAGGTCAAACAGGTCCTGCCACAGGGCTCCATGATTTCTGTGCCCACTTTACCTCTTGCTCCTCCCATGACAGTCTCTGACCAACTGGCCTTGTGATGCTCTCTGTCCTCCTAGAAGACATGAGGGACATGGGACCTCATAGGACACATTGAACACCTGGGAGAGTCTTGAGACCCCTGCTCAGAGAACCGTGTTCCTGTCCTCTGTCCTCTTCAGCCCCAGTGGTTATCTGTGGCCAGCTGCCTGCTTTCCTTTCTCCTGGGTCCTGCAGAGTGGACCCCTGCCAGCCCCTGGTCCTCGAATTGTCTTCTATTTATAGCCCTGGTTTCTGCAGCGCCTGCACCATGCCACAGCATTAGCCCAGCAGTGGCTGCCGGAGGTGTTCTGGGTCAGAGAAAATGAAGTCCATGACTCCAGCTGGTATCAGGCATGAAAAGCAGTTATGGGGCTGGGGCAGGAGGGGCAGTGGTCCACAGTCCATCTAATGCTTTCAGAAAAGGGACACATCACTCCCCAGAGATGCTTGTACTGAAAGTTCTCCTGTTGGTTACCCATCTTCCCCAATCCTGCTCCACCCTTGTATGGGGATTTGCTGTCCAGATAGGACCACAGTTCAACCAGCATGAAGGTTCTCTACCTCAAAGGCATTTTTAGGCTGTGTCTCTGGTCCCCTCATGCTGCAGGTGTGATGTGGGGGTGGCAGCTCCAAAAGGGGCTGCACACAAGGTGGCCCTAGTCAGAGAAGCAGAGGGATGCCACCACAGCTGAGGTAGCGTTGGTGCCCAGCACTGTCTCTGGCTCATTCCCATGTTTTCTTGCTAGTGTGGATTCCAGGGAGACGGGCCTCCTCTCCCCCACTACCCTGTCACGGGAGGATGTGTCTTCCCCAGCTGGTGTCTAGGAAGGTGCAGTATCCTTGTGCCCGGAGGACTGTGGGCTGATGAGAGAGGACTGTGGACTGAGGAGGGAGGACCGTGGGCTGAGGAGGGAGGATAGGCGTGACTGTTTACTAGTCACACACCAGGCAAGTGTGTGCAGCCATCCCAGTGCCTTGTCCTGAGGGCTTCCTAGGATGCAGGATAACCCTTGGCTGACAGGAGGGATGGTGACCCTGAGCAAGGCTGGAGCAGCCAGCCCTGGAGAGTCTCCTGTCTTCTGCAGCGTGGGGGAGGGGGAGAAGGAAGCTGCTAGGTACAGCCAGGTAGGAGCCTCTCCTTTACTCCCAGCCTGGGAGGTGGGGACACTCACGCTGGCTTTGATGACAGAAGGCTCTCTCCTGTGCCCTGGGAAAGCTGGCTGCAGGGCCAAGTGAGGTTCCCTCAGCCTGCCTGCCTGCAGCCGTGAAGAGCCCGGGGCTGGGAAAGATTAACAGGCAGGCAGGGGGAGGTTAGATGAACCACGGTCTGGTCCTGGCTACCCTGACATCCCACACCGCGCTCTTCGAAGAAACAAGGAGCGAGCCGTAAAGAGCCAGCTGCCCTTCACAGACTTACACATAAGCGTCTCTCCCTTAACGGAACCAGCCACGGGGACCACACTGACACCTGCTTTCTCCCTTGTCCCCATTTTTTTTGAAGAGGGTTCAATTACGCCTGGTCAGGCTTGCTACTCAGGAAACAGTTATTGAGGCCCAACCTGTGAGGAGCAGAGGACTGGTGGGTGTCCCCCATGTCCCATGGAGAAACTGAGGCTGGGGACAGAAGCCAGGGCTTACCAGGGGCCACAGTGGGAGCCGGGATGTGGCCATCATTGAGCAGCTCCAGAAGGGTGATTCCGGAGCCTGAATGCACACCTCTGGCACTGGGGCCTGTAGTACCACGTAGCATGGTATTACATGGTCTCCTCACAGCCATTAGTGTTGGCATCCGCTGTGCTGTATCAAAGAGGGAATGAGGCTCAGGAGTGGTAGCAACAGGCCTTGGGTGTCCCCAGATAGGAACAGGCATACATACCCAAGTCCCTCTGCTCCTCACGCTGGGCTTAGCAGAGCAGGATGAGCAGGAGAAAGAGCAGCCCATCCTTATGCAGCCTGCATGTGGTGCCAGGGTACCACTGGAAGTGCTTAGAGCCTACAGACTGACTGGTGGCCAGGGACCCAGCACCCCCAAGCTGAGCCCAGCCTGGTCAGATTTGGGCCAGATGATCCTGTACATCCAAGGATGGAAGATGCAGCTAAGTCAGACTCTCAAGGGCAAATCATAGCCTGAAAAATGTAGACTAGGAAAGAGAAGGGTATCCCCCTTTTCCTCCCCATGCCTGTGATGGGGCCCTGAGCCCCCACAGTGCCCCACCCCTGAGCGCTCTGCAGTGAAATCTCAGCACAGTCTGGCTGTTGGACTACTTCACTTTTTCTTACCAGATTGTAAGCTTTCCGTCCAGCAGGGCTTGCTCACCACCGTGAATACAGTCCATAGTCCTGCCCCATGGTTTCTGGTTCTGACACAAGCAGAGGAAGGATCGACTGGAGATCCCAGGGCAGTGGCCAGCGTGTCCCTCCCAGGTGGCTGTGGCTGGAAGGCTGTCACTGACCTCAGCCCTTCCAGGGTGGCACAGTCATGCCAGTGTCTACCAAACTCTACCAGTCACTCCCGAGGGTCCCCAGTGCTCTGGCATAGAGGGGACGACAAGTAAGGGACTACCCACCTCTGACCATCTCCTGTCTCTCGCAGATGTGCTGGTGGATGGACAGCTATGTGACTGCGAGGTGGCTACTGCCTGCCAGGTTGGTGACCCTGTGTCCCTGGAGGTGCGTCTGACTAACCGGAGCCCTCGCAGCGTGGGGCCCTTTGCCCTCACCGTGGTCCCTTTCCAAGACCACCAGAACGGCGTGCATAACTACAACCTGCATGATGTCATCTCCTTCGTGGGCTCCAGCACCTTCTATCTGGATGCGGTGCGTGTGTGGGCTGGGGGTTGTCTCCACCACCCACCTGCTCTGGGACCCTCAGAGCACTGCCCTGGGGGTCAGATCAGAGCTGCTCCTGAGAGCTCCTGCTTCCAGCAGTGCCTCCTGGCAGTGGCCACCACTGTACACCCAGCCCCAGAGGGAGCCATGAACCCCTCCTAGAGCTGGATTCATACCCTTGTCCCCCAACACCAGCATTCCAGCCACCCCCACTTTCCTTCCCACATCCCTGCTCTCACAGTGCCCCCCAAACAGTTTAGGGAGGAAGTCAAGTCAAAGCAGCTCCTTCCAAAGATGAAAGGTGCAGCAGTGCACCAGAGGCAGCACAGAGCCAAGGCCTGTGTGTCCCGCCCTCCCCATTACCCTGATGTCAGCTGGGTTCAAGCTCTCCCAGTGACCGCAGGTCCAGTCTGACAGCTCTTCCTTCTCCCACTCCAGGTGCAGCCATCAGGCCAGTCAGCCTGCCTGGGGGCCCTCCTTTTCCTCTACACTGGGGACTTCTTCCTCCATATCCGGTTCCACGAGGACAGCAAGAGCAAGGAGCTGCCGCCTTCCTGGTTCTGCCTACCCAGCGTGCACCTGCGCGCCCTGGAGGCACAGGCCTGAGCCGCTCACTCTAAAGGCTCCTGCCATACCCAACTTTTCCTATCTGCTCCCAGGAGTTCCCCTGCTGTGTGCTCTGTTCTTGACCCCCCTCACACCCAGTGCAGGCCTGGGTCCCTGTCCCTGTCCCCTGGCCAGTGCTGTGGATGGTCCTCCCTGATCTGCCACCTCCCTTTGGCCTTAGAAATGACAGCCAGTGTGAGGCCCATTTCGGCCTTTGATTCTCCTGAGAACTGCTCTCTCTAGGAGCACCGTTGGCAGCTCGGATAGCTTGGGTGACCAGGGTGAGCAGGTATTCAAGTGTTCCCCACCCATCTGGGTGCTGGGCTCCAGGTCTGTGTGTTTGTGTTGCCGCATCTTCCAGTAAAAGGCCTTGCTCTACTCCCATTGTGTCTGTTTACAAGCTGGGTGATGGAGTGGGAGGGGTAGAGGTTAGGCTACAACTCACCCAGCTACACCCTGCCAGGTGAAGAGTCCAGATCGAGTTCCACTTCTCAGCCAGCATGGCGGGCCTGCATTCGTCTCAGAGATAGCAAGATAGTCAGCCTCTGCTCCCTGTTACCGCGACACTGACTCGCTTCCCCCACAGAGCAGGGGCTTGAGCCCCATGCAGTGGTGCTCAGCCACTGGGTGCCGCTGTGCTCTGACTGCCTCTACCCCATGCAGCTTTGTTTTGTCTCCTGAACATCAGCCTCCCACAGTGGCTCACAGAAACAGGAAGTCAGCAGGTGTTGAGGAACCTGACCAGCTCAGGTGTGGGCCTCGTGACCCCTGCAGCCAGGCTCTCGTTTCTCTTCACTCCAGATCCCCTGCAACACCACAGACATGAACAGAACCCAGCACCAAGCACCTCAGGCGTTGGTTTACGTGCATGGCTGCCTGAGTAGAACTCAGGGCCTTGGGCTTAGAGCTCTAGAGAAGCCCCAGGCCCACAGTATAGAGCAGCGGAGGCCAGAAGGGAGGGTGTTCTCAGATGAGGCCACCTGGACAGCACAGCCGGCACGGGCAGGTGTTGGGGAAGACAGGCACCAGGTAGGCTGTCTGGGGTCCCAGTGCGCTTTGGTGACTGACCCTTCCATAACACTGATGGAGGGTAAGTAGAGAGGTTCCCTTCAGACCTTCAGGCTCAGCACAGGGACCTTATTCCTTCCAGTTAACTAGGGCCATGATGTGTCTACTGGACCCGCTGTGTCAGGTGGAGCTAGGAACTCTGTCTCTCCCAAGCATCCTCCAGCAGCTTTGGTCACAGAGTGGGGCATTGTCCCTGCTACTAAAGGGTAAACTTCCCAGTGCTGAGAGATACTATCCAGCAGGCAGTGACTGGGGGTGGGGGCAGGTGGGGCCTCCCAGTGCTGCATAGCTGTCACAGCAAGATCACCACCACCCGTGGAATGCTATCACAGTGCCTCAGAACACATACAGTGTCTGGACCCCATCATCCAGGCTGGACCCCATCATCTAGGCTGGACCCCATCATCCAGGCTGCTCCCCATGGTTCTACAAGCTGCTTGTTACACAAAGGGGTCCCACAACTCTACTTCAGTTTTGACCCCAAGTGAGGGGCTCCTTTGCACACTGACACTGCACCAAGATGCCAGGCAGGCTATGGTGGCCCTGCTACCAGGCTTGGGCCACGTTCCACTCCCTCGGTCTCTGCCTTGCAGACCCTACTTCCTGCAAGTTTCACCCTTGGCCAGCACCCTACAGCCTGGCACAGGCACGCTGTGTAGACCTCTGGCGCTGCTCTTGTCTTTTTGGTAGAGGTCTGAGTCTTCCTCCTACCCTTCAAGCAAACCCCAGGGCAGGTATTGGGGCATGCACTGTTTGTGTGGAAGGTGAGGGGACATGCCTGGGTGGGAGTATGCTGGAGTAGCCAGGGTGAGTTGCTATGACAGTGAGCAGCTGGTGTTGAACTCCTCAGGGACACTCAGGAAGAGTAGAAACAGCCCAGCACTGTCCACCCAAGGAGCAGATGAGACACACGAGGCCTCACTTGCCAGCTGCAGAGTCATCTGACACCATCCTGGCTGAGGCACTGCCCCAGGGCCTACCTGAACAATTCATGTTTCTAGCAGAGGCTAAGCAGCCCTCAGGGCCCAGCAGAGACCATCCTCAGGCACCCTGGGTACACAGAAAATTCCAAGGAACTCTGGGGGCAAGGACTAAGGCAGGGGCCTACCAGAGGCCACTCAGCCCAGAAGGAGCCAGAAGGGGACTGCTGTGGCCTCTGTGAGCCAGAGTGGGTCAAGTGGGCCTCAGGAGGCCTGTTAGTCCTGGACCCCAGACCCAGAGAACAGGTTTCTCAGCTGCCCACCTCTGCCTCTTATTGGCATCAGGTGGGGAGGGGGCGTTATAATATGCTATGTGGTTATATAGGTGCCCTGCTAACTACTGACTACCCCTCAGGCTCAAGCATGATCAGGGAAGTAAACCTGGAAGGTTTGCCTGTGCCAGCAGATGGGGACCCTGCAGAGGCCCGTTGGCCTCCCTCTCCAGGAGCTCACAACAGGGGTGGCCTGGCCACTTGGGCTGCTTGTAAACAGAACAGCCTTTCTCATTAACATGGACAAATCCCCAAAATATACCCTTGAGCAAAACAGCTTGTGAAATGGTGGGCACAGCGAACTCCATTCACATAAAGAGCTGCCCACGAATTGCGCATGTTCTGTGCATCAGAATATGCCTATACAAACATGTTTCACAGCTGGAAAGGGCCCACACTTCTCTTAGTGGTGTGTCATCATGACAGGTTACAAGCGACACCCTGCCTGATGTCTATGATGGTGCAGGCCATGGCAAACTTGAGTGACGAACTTTGTCCTTATTCGCATCTCTATCCATGTGGTTGCACAGACTGATAAGCTGGTAAAATGGTGTTGGAGGAGATGTTAGAAATAACCCAGGCACCCCTAAGAAAACACCCACTTGGAACTGACTGTAGCATCCATGTTCTGACGCAGGAGGTGACTGGAATCGGAACAAGGAGGCACCGTGAGTGCCAAGGGCACTTGGGATTTTGTCCTGACAGATATGGAACCAGAGAACTGCTTTTGGGATGGGGTGCCCTTTCCTGGTATGTGTGTAGCCGGTCTTCTGGTGTATTAGTGGGTGGGAATTGATATAGGATGGGAAGATGGTGTCTCATGATGGTCCGAACCCCTCTCAGTTCTGAGCCTACACTGCTCACCCCATCCTCATATACCCTGCAGATGCTTCCCAGGTCTGAGCAGGGGACACGCAGGCCATGTCCACTCACCCCCGTGGCCGAGTGGCTAAAAACTGGCATGTTTTGTCCCCTGAAACTCACTAGAAAGACAGGGATCCTGAGGAAGACACGTGAAGGGCTGGAATCTACCTCAGCCGCTTCTGAACGCCAGTTGGGTCACTGAAGTTGGGTCTTGTTTTGTTTTTTAAAATAGGGTTAAAAATGCTAACGTGGGGAGCACTCTCACGTGAACGGTTTGTTTGGTTTAATCTCCTCAGTGTTCCTAGCAGTGCTTCAGTGTGTACTGCTTCTCTCCCTGTCCTTGCTTCTCTGTTCAATTCCATCCACATGTCCTGCCATGCCTCAAATTCCACCTCCCCAGGGACACTTCACATTTGTCCTTGTTGGGCTCCATTAGTTCTTTGCACGGGTTAATTTGTTAGCTAACACGCAGAAGAAAGCAGGGCTTTTCAACATGACAGGTGCTGCATGAGGACGGAACGGGCGCTCTGTCTCATTGCTGTTCAAGCACAGGCTGGACCTGATCTGAGATGGTTCAAAAGATTCAAGCATCATATGGGACCACTGGGGCTGCAAGCTCAGAAAAAACACTGTGATTATGATATACTAAGAGGCAACCCCAGTTCTAGTACCCAGGAAAGAAAATGAGCTACATGTGGTTGGCCACCTGGCTCCTGGGACCCTCAAGCAAAGTCTTCAAAGACTAAGACTGGCGCTGGAGAGATGGCTTGGCGGTTAAGAGCACTGGATGCTCTTGTAGAGGACCCAAATTTGACTGCCAGCACCCACATGGTGGCTAACAACTGTCCATTAACTCCAGTGCCAGGGGATCTGACGCCCTCTTCTGACCTCTGTGGGGATTGCACCACATGGGTGCACTTACACACATGCAGGCAGTATACTCATACATATAAACTTTTTTTAAAAAGAGTAAGACAGGAAGGTGTAGATCAGAAGAGGTTACCAACACAGTGGGTGAGCAGCCAGGGGAAGCCTCCTGAACTCAACCAGGAAAGGTGGTAGCTATAGCCCATGAGTGTACATGCAGCAGTGAGCTACAGTAAAGTGGGACTATTAGTCCTAGGACTGCGGAGCTGGCTGGGCAGTTAAAGCTCTTAGTATTCAAGCAGTAAATGTGTGGATCACAGTTTGGATCCCCAGAACCCATGGGAATGCCAGGTATATGTGGTGGCCTGTCTTTAATCCAGCACTGAGAAGGCAGAGACGGGGGATCCCTAGAGGAAGAGGGCCAGCTAGACCAGTCATATTGGTGAGCTCTGGGTTCATGAGTCATACTGAGTCATATTGGTGAGATACTGTCTCCATGAAGAAGGTAAAGGACAATCAAGGAACACATACACACACACACACACACACACACACACACACACACACGCACGAAAAAAATCCTGAGCCCAGCATCTGCCCCCATGGGGGGAAAATACAGAGGGAAAAGCTATGTCTTGACACTGGCTTTCATGTTGATTTCCACCAAACTCAGAGCATCCATTTTCAAACCTCTACAAAACAGGGGAGGGATGGGAACAAAGCCAGGGCCACCCTGTGATCTATTAGGAAGCTGCTTTTACCAGTCTGGGAACTGAATGACACCTTTAGTAAACTGACTGATGCCTTTAGTAAGAAAGGAACAAAAACAGCCCCCCTCTTACCTCCCTGAAGAGTGGAGATAATCCTGCCCCTCTAATCCTCTGGTTTCAACCCAGACTGTCTCTAGGAACCTGAGGTCCTGAACCACAGTCCCCAAGTGCCTTCCTTAAACCCCAGGTTATTCATCCATTTCAGAGTGACCCAAGACAACTACCACCCTCTTACCACTCACATGGAGCAGACATCTTAAAGAACAACACATTTGTTTAGGGGGGGGGGGGATGGACTTCACTTTTACTCCAAAGATACAAGGGTTTTCATGAAGAAAATGAATAATTCAGTTTAAAAACAAAGTTATAAACATACTAGGAAGCAATCCATTATGGATGAGGTTCAGAGAAAACAAAATCACAAGGCACTGGCTCGAGAAACAGATAATAGATTTTACTGTTAAAAAGTGAGGTTGGTGTGAGAAGTGAACAAGAAAATTAAGGTGGGGAAATAACTGGGCATCATAAAGAATCAGACCGAGCACTTGTAAATGGTAACGGAAAATAAGAATTGACATGAAGCATTTAACAGCTAGGCTGAGGAAGCAGATTAAGCCTGCCTCAAGAACAAACTGCAGAGTCGGGGATGGAGCTGGAGATGTTATTTTAACAAAAGCCAGCCCCAAAGACCACGAATCTGAAAGCAGTGGGGTGGGGGCGCAGTACCACAGTCTTCTGTGTGTGCAGTGAAGGTTCCCCGGGGAAAGATCAAGAGAATGGAGGGGCAAATGAGTAAAAAGCCAAGGGCTTCTCAGAAGAGAGGACGAGACCCATGGACTCCAGACACCCATAAAATTCCAAATAGAACAATGTTCAAAACACACAAGTGACACATTGGTTGTAGGACAGTTTCAGAAGACCAGCTGAAAAGGGGTGACCTCCAAAGGAGTAGCAATCTGATTGACACCTGACTTCTCA